CGTTCCAGTTTTGCGCGTGGGGCCCGTTAAATATTAGTTTAATTTTTATTTTTATCATCATTATCCTCATTTTTATTATTTTGTATTTTTCAATGGCGGCATCTCTGGTCGATGGTTTAGCACATTTGAAGGTTAGGTTCCTTATCGGAGACTCTAGACACAGTTTCTGTTGTAAATTCCTAAATACCAGCAATAAAAAGAGAATGGTTTTAACGAGTCGTATACTCCTCTCTTGAAGCTGGTATCACTTCACCTAAGCACTGTGCCTAGTCACAAGAATGACAGTTTCATTGCTGCTCAAAGCAAATCAAGCTTTGATTTCAGTCAATATTGTAATGATCTTGACACTAAGCTAGTTTTTCACTCTTTCAAACTTAGAGGTCTTTTTGTTCCATTGCAAACCCCCACCTTCTTATAAATCGTGTCTACTTTATTAATTGTTCTTCTAAAGAAGATGAGGTTGACTAGCTATCCAAAACTACGCACGAATGCAAGCAGGACTGAAAAAAGCCAAAATGTGTAGTACTTCTTTGATAAAACAAAACAAAACAAACAAAAGAGGAAAAAATAGCTACAACACATGATTTGTCTGGAAAGCTTTCTCAACTTACTAAGCTTTTATTTCAACATTAATTATACTTCAATTAAATTTTAGGTAATAAATAGTTCCTGGACTCCAAACAGAACAATACAGTTATTCCCTGGCGTTATGACAGATTTGGTATTAGTAGAATGTCATTTGCCTGATTCCCCCGTCAAGCAACGTTTCTTTGATGACGTCAATGAAGGAACTCCTGCAGCAGGACTCACAATATCAGTATCAAATGACGGCGAAAACCCAAGTCATGAGGAACTATCATTTATATCATACGACTCTGGATGCATGAGTTGCAATATTTCTTCAGGATGCTTTCTCAAAGTAAGTGTATTGTAGTGTTTCCTATTGTTTGTTTTTTTTTTTTATTATAGTAACCCGCAAAAGGATTTGTACCTAATTTTTTCATGCTTTGCTGAACAACTGCTTGCGTATTATAATGAAAATTTATGATCATGATGTTCACTATCATCATCATCATCACTATCAATATGCTTTTCTGTCAGAGTAACTCTTGCTTGATTAATCAATACTGCTTCGCCGCTAACGAAATGAACCCCCATGATTTTTGTTCTCAATGTCTTCCGGATATCAACAAAAAGAAGTGGACAAAACGACAAGGTAAGCTTGCGATTATATCTACATTATTTATTCCTACCTTATCAATATTTCTTACCCATGGTACTTGTTTTTTTCCTCTTTCATTTCCTTATCCGCTCCAACATTTTTTCGCTCAATCATTCACATATTTTTTAACTATGTAAATTATCCGTGGTGTTAAGAAGGTAGACTTTGCTATTTTGTTTCACTAGCTACCATTTATGCCTATTCCAAGATTTCTGTTCACATTATAATTATGTTCTATGTAATATTTGCAAATTCTTCATGTTCATTTTTGCATAATAAAAGCTTAACCGGCGGAAATTTATCTTTCTTAAGATTACGATTTCGGCTAAATTTTTTTATATCTTATTTGCCTCAGTGATCTCCATATTTTGATAACAAAAAAGCGTTATCCTAACAACCTTAGTTATCTTTATTTATAGTAAACCTTGCCCCAAAATTTGCATCAACCTCTCAGTATTACGCAGTCTTTCAAGAAACTCTGGAGTTGCCTATTGACGTTCTGGATCCAGAAGGCATGCCCGTGGTAGTTTCTCTCGTGAATGGAGGTCCAACTGAGGCTATCATACATGATAACATTTTGATATGGAATGCGACTAAAGATATCATGACCCATTTCTTCCTCAAAGCTACTGATGCCTGTCAGGCCTTTTCCACGCACGATATCACTGTATCTTTAGTCACCTGCCAATGTCAAAACAATGGAAGATGCGTTCCTCATCTAGATAAACCAAGAGGATCGGGTTATTATGAGTGCCATTGCCTTCCTGGATTTACAGGAGACAAGTGTGAGACGGACATCAACGAGTGTCTATCATACCCCTGTTTAAGAGGTAGTTACAAGGCTCAATTAATATTTATATATTCATCTTATATTTTCCTGCGGACATTAGAGAGGCTCGAGGAAAACCTTGAACTTCAAGGAAAAGATTATGTTTGTTGCAGGTTTGCGAAAATATATTTTCCAGCCATTTTTTTTTTCGCAGAACGCAAAAACATAACGTCTGCAAATAGCTTAAATCTAAGGGAAAAACAGATATCAACTTTTATTCATGGATTGTGAACAAGGAAAATTGTAAATTTGTGTAGTCACTGCATTTGCCTTTATTC